GAAAGGACCATTTGCAAAGCAAAGTTGGAAAATCACCCTTCTTAGCTTCCTGTTGCAGGGCTTTGTCTGGTGGATGAGGGAGGAGTGGTGGGGTGAGCTGAGCCCCTTTGCCACAGGTCTAGTGCACCCCAACAGATGCAGGGTCACCCACAGCCCTGGGGTGGAGGCTGGGTTACCCAGACTCTCTGTGCCTGCGCCCCGCACCTGGGGATGAGATAACAACTGCCACGCCCTCCCGGGCCCTGATGAGGGTTTCCGAGGGTCACATATTTGTAGGGCTTCTCAGGAGAAGCAGGCCAAGTGGAAAGACCTGAGCATGTTGTGTTTGTTACCATGTATCCCCTTACACATGTCATAGTTTGTCATTTATTATCCTTTCACAGTTGTTGATAAAGAAAAACCTCTTTTGAAACTGCAAGATGTAGTCTCATTTTTCTTTCTTTCTTTTTTTATTTTTTGAGGCAGGGTCTTGCTTGTTATGTAGTTCAGGCTGGCCTCCAAATTACAGCCATTTTCCTGCCTCAGCCTCCTGAGTACTGTGCCACCACACACCCAGCTGGTCTCATCTTTCTGTCTACTTTATCACACAGTATTTGGGATTGAACTCTGGCTATCATACTGAGCAACTGGGGAGTCCTTTTTATATTTTTTAAATTTTGAGATGTGGTCTCACTAGGTCACTAAATTGCCCGGGTTGGGCTTGAATTTTTGATCCTCCTATCTCAACCTCCCAAGTGCTTGGATTACAAGTGTGCATCACTACACCTGGCCAGTCTCTCTCTCTCTCTCTCTCTCTCTCTCTCTCTCTCTCTCTCTCTCTCTGGCTAGTCTGTTAAAATACTGCCTGCAACTTAGAAATAAAGCAAGGCATTGTCATGAATTAATAGACACGCTAGTTATTCTTGTATGGTTAATTGTGCCTAATAAGAATGCGTGTGTATAATTTGATGTTTTACCATAGCCACAAAACCACCACTGTAATCAATACACAGAGCACTGACATCATTCCAGGGAAGCCCCTTAGGGTCACCTTGGGGACGCATCTCTGGCCTCTCCCTCCCTTCCAGAGCTTCCCAAGTCGCTGTCCCTCTGTTGTGCCTTCTCAGTCACCAGGTGCCCATGCTGTATGGTCTGTGTCCTTTGCTCCCCTCCCCACCTTGGCTGGGCAACCCCTGCCCAGAGCTCCCAGTCCATCTCTTCTGATCACACTGTGCCCACCTGTGGTAGACTGTCATCAGGGACAACAGGGACCTGGGTTTGGACTCCCCACCCCTGGGTCTTTCTGCCTGGCTGGTGGGAGATGAGTTTGCAGATGCCAGGCTGTGGAGCAGGCGGAGCCACTGGGTGACACCTCCTGTATCTCCATCCCTCCAGCACTGGGGAGACCCAGCCTGCAGTCACAGCTTCGGTCACTGAGGCTGAGCAGGGGTAGGGAGTGTGGCCTTGAAGACTGGGCCATGACAGGGCCACTGGGGATGAGTGAAAGGGATCAAGGAAGGCCAGCTCAGAGCAGCTGCTGGTCTGTGCCGAATCAGACACCTCACTGAGGCCAAATTAAATATGAATCAGGGGAAAGAACAGCCAGGAAATCCTCTGCAAATGCCCCGACAAGGCGACCACCATCACCAGAGGGTGCTGACAGGTGGGGCATTTCCTGACCTGTCCCCGAGGGCACAGTGCCCGCTGGCTCTCCGCAGCAGGCATCATGGTGGCAGTTCTGCCAGGGGCTGCCTGCTGCAGGGCTTTCTCTGGCAGATGAGGGGTGGGATGAGCTGAGTTTCTTAGAAGCAGCTCTGAAATAGAGCAGCCTGGGCATTTGATCAGGAACCCTGCAGCTGCCTCTGGGGTCCTTGCCACCCCCCACCCGCACCATGGCTGTTCCTACTTGGTACTTGGCTCCTACTGGGCTCCACCCACCCTACTCCTCCCAGTGTTTCCCAGGACCACCGCCAACCATGGCTCCTCCACACCCACAGGCTCCACGGATCCCTCATCCACTGTTCACAAAATATTTGGGAAAAAATGTACACTTGTGCTGAACATGTATAGACTTTGCCACTGTCGATGTTACCTGAGCCACGTAGGTCAACTCCGCACACAGGATCGATGCCATCCTAGGTACCACAAGCAGTCTAGAGATGATTCAAAGTGCTTGGGAGGAGTATAGGTGCCCTCTAAATACCATGCCATGGATGGCCTTCCATTCAAATATGGGGGCAGGGGTCGGGAACTGGAGCAGGAGACTAGGGCATGGCAGGCTGGCTGGGGCAGAGCTGTTAATTACAAAGCCCCAGGACACATGCGCAGAACACGTGTCAGGGTCCTGCATGTGGACCCAATGAGAGTGCGGTGGCTCCAGTTCCTCTCTCAAGGACTAAGTGAGTTTTCCATAGGCTGGCCTAGGCCTAGGCAGGCCTGAGGCATAGGAGACACAAAAGACGGGGCCCAGAGCTCTGGGCTTCTGTGCTGTCTCACGATGGTCTGCTTTCAAGCTGCAGAGGGCACTTGTTTTCTACTCCGCTGGGCCCAAACTAGCTCTACAGGGCATGTTGCTTTTCCTATCTTTAATAAAGGTAAAACATTTTGCATTTATTTTGTCTAATTCGATGTTTAAGACATGAAGAACCAACAAACCACTTCTGGAAGGAGACCCCAGACCCCGGTAACAAAACCAACCCTCCTCCAACTCTGAGAGGAGACTACCTTTCAACTAAATCCTTCTGCCCGGATCTCTTTCTGAAAAAATGTAAAGGAAAAGTAAACAAGATAAAGAAGTCCCTGTGCAGAGGTGGGCTCTCGGGTAGATGTTTTTTTTTAATTGGATCTAGAAAACAGAACCTGCCTTTCTGTTGAATGATGTACAACAGCAGCATTCACCATATTTTTGATTATACCTCCTAAAGCATTCATGAAAGAGGACTTCCAGAGCTGCTTCAGAAAATAGCAAGAAGGATGGGATAAGTGTGTTCTAAGCAAGAAGGTGCATTCTGAGGGGAGTTAATGACAATGTGTGATCAGCTCCTGTATGGATTATTCTAGGCTGCTTAGGCTAGACGTGTACCTCCAGCACTCAACTAACTTTGGAGAAAGAGGGAATGGCTTTGTCCCTCAAGCCCAGAGGAGAGAGCGGTTACTCCAGAAAAGTTAAACAGCTTACCAGTGGTCACTCTCTTTAATAAACATAAATGCAAAAATCCTTAACAAGATATTGGCAAAAATAATGCAACAAATCATCCAAAAATAAAAAAAAAATACATCATGAACGAGTAGGATTCATCCTAGGAATGCAGGCAGAACTCGACACAAATCAGTAAATGTAATACATAAATAGAGGCAAGGACACGAATCATATGATCATCTCATTAGATGCAAAAAAAGCCTTTGGTAAAATCTAACATTCATTCATGCTAAAAACTCTATAAAGAAAATAGGAAAAGAAACCCCAAACTGCTAGGTGTCTGAAATGCCAAATTTGTGTTCTCTGAAATTGAGGCATAAATTCTAGGAACACTGGAAGTTAAGAATAGGAAGAACTTGAGAGAAAGAAAGCTTCTGTTTAAAAGGGACAGAAGGTGGCCTGTAAAGTGGGTTGCCCCAGAAGCTGGGATTCTTTTTTTTTTTTTTTTTTTTTGTCTTTTTCGTTTTTATCGGTACCAGGGATCGAACTCACGACTGCCTGCTTCCAAGGCAGGTGCTTATGCCGCTGAGCTAAATCCCCAGCCCCAAAGCTGGGATTCTTGAATTATATTCCAAGGTGGGGCTCACTCCTGGAAGATGAGGGCAGAGAGCTAATCCAGGTTAATTTCTGTCAATTAATCACTAATGTGCTGGGAACGCCGAGTTGAAAGGAGGGATAAATTCAATTTCACTCTGACCCTTCTTTATTCTCTCGGGAAGATTTTTCTAACAATACTTCGTGAAGTACCAAACGCAGGTGGAGCTGGAGAAAATGTCCGGATACAGCCTGTTCAGGACTCTGCAACCCATAGGCCATCTGGGACGGAGTGAGTCCCCTTAAGGAACCTAAATTCAAAGAGTCTGTTCTGGTTCAAAGGGTTTCTTTTCTTTTCTTTTGGTACCAGGGATCGAACTCACGACCTTGCGCTTGCCAGGCAGGTGCTTAGGCAGCTGAGTTAAATCCCCAGCCCTTCAGAGGGTTTCTTTTAACACACTGGCCCTGTTACCTGGAACAAAAGCCCTAAGGTGGACGGTGATCATGGCTCTGACTGCAGGGGTTTGGGGGAGCACAGTATCTGGGACAGACTCTAACGAAGGGTGCAGGCAGCCACCCCAATTCCCAAGCATCTTCCGGCTCTTCCACTTCGATTCCTTCATTTATTCAAGCAAATTCCTTCTGCGTCGATTACACTCTCTTTGAAAATGAGGATTTACCTACCCTCCGCTGATCCTAAGCAGAATTGGTCCTTAGACCCAGGGTCCCGAGGCAGCGGTGCCTTGGGTAAAGTTACTGGGTTTAAATAAAGCATTTTTTTTGGTCGGTAGTGCTATCTACTTAGGATGACGTCTACCGTCATCTCAGCCCAGCGGCGCCCTAAGGCTCAGGCCAGGGCTGCTGGGATTCGAACCTTCCGCCGCCCGCCCCCACGCAGCTGCCGGATGGGAGTCCGCAGCCGTGGCAATCACACACAGGAGCGCCGCGGCCCGGGGGGCGGGGCCTACCGGCGACCTCCCCCTGGTGGGCGGGGAAATAGGCCCCCGCCCCCGCGCAGAGGCCAGCGCAGCGCTACGCGGCCCCGCCCCCCGCGGTTCCCCGCAGCTCCTCCCCTCGTCCATTGGCCGAGGCGGAGACCCTCCTCTTTGACCAATGGCCGCCGCCGCGGCTCGGCCGTCCGTGCCCTGACTGGCCGGCGGCCCCGAGAGTGGCAGGGCGCAAGCCAATGGGGAGCGGCGGCTCGATGAATGGCTGGCCCGGGTGGGGAAGGCAGGAGGCGGTGATCCCGGCGGAGGGGGCCGTTCGCCAGCTCCGAGGCAGAAAGTGCCACGACTCCACACGCGCGCACGCAGCCAGCGGGCGGCCGGAGCGGACGGCGGACGGAGCGGGCGGCGTCGGGGTCGCGGCGCCTGCAGCAGCGGTCGGCTGGTCTCTCGCGGTTCCGGGGCGGCGGCGGCTCCTGCCCTCTAGCTTTCGCTGCGTCTCCGGCTGCAGGTGAGAAACTTGGCCGGGCCTGCGGCGGCGGCGGCGGCAGTGACACGTCTCTGCGCCCCTCCCCCGGCCCACGTCGCTGTCCTCGTCGCGGTGGCCGCGGCCCTTGCGCGGCCCGGGCGGGGGTAGGGGGCGTGGGCCGGGCCGCGGGCCGTGGCGTCGAGGGTGCGGGCCGGCGCGACGTGGCGCCCCTCAGTGCCTCTCAGCGCCCCTGGGCGCCTCCCCGCCGGCCGGCGCAGCGCGCTCCGAAGTTGGGCGAAGAAAGTTGGCGGCGGCGGGCGGGGCGCAGCAGCCGCGCGGTGACGTCGCCGGGTGCGGGGCGGGGGCGCGGGGGTCCCCGACGGGGCGGCCCGGCTCAAGGCTGTCCGGGGCGGCGCGGGTCACTTCCCGGAGCGCGGCCCACTGCGGCTCCCCCTGGCGGCCGGGCCGGAGCCGGCGTGAGAACGCCCCGGGGTCGTGGCTCCCGGTCCCTGCCCGCCCGGCCGCAGCCGCGACGGAGGGGCCGGCAGTGCCAGGCCCGGGAGGGAAAGCGGGCGCCTCCGTCCTGCCCGCCCATCTCCGCGCGCTGGCACTTGGCCCGCCCGGCCCGCCTGGCTCCCCGGCTGAGCCCGGGGTAGGGGGGGGCACTGGGCCGGGCTCCTAGGGAGCTGCGGGACCCTGGCCTGGGTCCATCCCAGTCCCAGCACGACAGAGGACGGCGTCAGCCCGGTGTGCAGCCCCGTCTGAAACTTGGGGCCCCCGACGGCCTCCACTTGAGAAAACAGCTGTGAGACCTAGCACACGGAGGGAGGAGTCAACAAGTGTTGGCCTGCGCTGCGGGGTGGGCTTTGAGGGCTGTGCGGGTGCAGCGGCGAGAGGGGTCTGGCTCCCCTTGCCTGCTGCAGAGTGGGCTGCAGGAGCGACAAGTCTGGATCCCACCCTCCAGTCCCACTGGCTCTGCCCCCAGCCTCTCTACCCTTGCTCTTATCTGTAGCCTGGAGATGGATCCACCCACTCAGGACAGGGTCAGCGGGCCAGGCCGGGCAGGAAAGTGCTGGGACCTCATGCAAACAAGCCAGTGTGGCAATAACCCAGAGGTCAGAGGTCAGGAGGGACTGGGAAACACCAAGAAAATGAAGCCTGCCATGGCATGCTTTTCTGGGCCATTCCCTCCATGAGCTGGTACCTTCCGGGTTCGGCTGCCTACGTGGAATCTTTGGAGTTTGAACACGGGTCCAGGAGAGCCTCACATGTTACGCTGGCCCTGTGCAGTTCAGAAGCTTTCGCCCACCGCCTACCTCCTCCACACCCTTGGTCTGCGCTCTCCTTTAAGCGAGACATCTCTGAGACTGCAGCGCCCTGCCCAAGTGCTCCTTGCAGTTCGTTTGTGAACTTTCCAAAGGTCGGCCGGCTGTGGTCTGCCAACTGGTTTCCCTTCCAGAAGCAGCTTCCGGTTCTGAGGTCCTGGATGTGCCACCCTCTCTAAGCAAAGGAAGAGAGGTCAGAGCAGCCTGGTAGTTAAGTTTCCCTTAACAGGAGCTAGGAAGTAAGGCTCCTGGGCCTTTTGGGCTGGAGGAGGCCAACAGGATCTTTGGGTTTAGGTCTGTTAGGCATAACTCTTCTTGTACTTACTTAGGCATTGCTTTCTCTCTTTCTACAAAGAGCATTAGAGGGGTGCTGTGGTGTAGGAATATTTTTTGTTGGTGGGAGAATTTTAAATACATCCTGAATCGAGTCACATTTTGTTGAGCAATTACGTTCCTTGCTGGAATGAGCCCTAACTCTACAGGCTGCAGTAATTACCTAGCACCAAACTCCGTTTAAATGGTTGAATGCAAATGATTTAATTGGAATATTGGTTTTTTATGTAGCTGGGATACCTTCTAAAAGTGTAGGACTCTAGATTCTTCTTACTTGTTCTTTTCTGGCGGGGAGCTTTAATTAACAGATGAATGACAGAGATAGAGGCAGTAGTTCTTTTGAGACAGATTTTTCTTTGCCAAAATCCTGCTTCCAGTATGGGGGGGGGTTGTCATCCAGCATTGTGACGGGAGGGGCCACCCCTCCCCCCTGCACATCCTAGGCTGAGCAGTGCCCACCCGGTGGCATGGCCTGGAGAAGCCCATAGAGGGACGAGGGTTAGAAAGGGCTGTTGGGGTTGGAGAGCAGAGGTTTCCATAATTAACACTGATTAAGTGAGCTAGGTGAGTACCCTGTTAGAGCATTCTCAGTAGTTATCTGATGATTTTATAAGACTTACTGTTAAAATCAGATTGCAGTCGGGTCTGGTGGTGCATTCCTATAATCTCAGGTCTCAGAGGATCACTGAGAGTTTGCAGGCTGGCTTGGACTACATAGTGAGACACTGTGTCCAGAAAAAAAAAATCAGATTGCATGGCTCTGATGTAGATTGAGGCCTCCCAACAATCTCATTTTATGGGGCTGGTCTGATTCTCACCCATTCCATGGATGAGAATGAGGAGGTTGCAGGCTACAAGGTTGTTGGGCCTAGTCAGTCCTATTGCCAGTTGCTAGTCACAGGCCTCTGCCTCTGGAACATGCTGTGGGGATATGTAATTCTACTTTCCGGGACAGTAATTATCCAAGGGAGAACACAGATCTAGAATATTGAAATTAAGAGTTTCCCTTGCAAGTGGGTTGGAAGCATGGCAGTACAGGAGGGCACTTGGAATTTCATTTCCTTATGAAGTGTCCCGCCGAGCTGTCAGATGTGGTGTCTGCAAATGTGTGAGACCTAGTTCTTGTCCAAAGAGGCTGCTGTCAGGAGTGGTGTCATCCAGCATCATTACCACAGACAACTTTTAGGGTTAGACCAAAGACGTTTTAATGAAATAAAAGATTGTTTCTGAGCCCTATTTCTAGTGTTTAGTACTCACATACTGGTCAGTGTCGATTAGGATCGTTTCTGTGCTCCGAAAGTTTAATCAGACAGCATTGGGCCAGGATAGCAGCTGTTCTGTACATTTATTTCTGATCCCACCCAGCATTCAGGAAGCTGAGGCAGGAGGACCAGCGAAACTTCGAGGCCAGTCCAAACCACAGAGTCTAAAATAAAAGTCTCTGTTTCTCTTCATCATATGCCAACACTGTACTCTGGAGCCATGAGACACTGCTAGTTCTGTAGGTCCCAGCAGCTGGCTGGTAGCAGTTCATGTGCCTCAGCTGGATAGACCTTGCCTATAAGAAGCACTAGTCCTGACTTCGCTGTGAACTGTAGGGGCTGGGGATGGCAAGTTTTACCTAACAGTTGTGGCATTGACATGGCCAAATGGACCACACAGAAAATAAGTAGGTATTAGGTAGAAAGCATATGGCTGGTGGGGGAAATTAATTTTTTACTTTTTTTTTTTAGACAGTGTCTCACTGTAGTCTAAGCTGGCCCTGAACTCAGTGCCCAGGCTTAAAGCCATACACATCAGAAGCTTTTCCTTTAGATGTAAGTACTGTGTATCTCCCACCTGAATACCAGATAGTGCCTTTATATAGACTGCCTTATAATTTCTAAATGAGATTATTTTGGCAAGACTGGAATACCTGCCTTGTCTCCAAACCTGACACCTTCTGGTGTGCTGGCCTTTTCCTGTCTGGCTGATGTAAATCCTTTCCTGAGCAATCGACTTCCGCAGGCTCTGCTGGACTCCAGAGACTGCAAGAACCATTGGGATTTGCAAGGCTCTGTCTTCAGGAAGAACTTTTGAGTTTGAATTCAACCAAGGACCTAACTGAAGTTTGAATGAAGCTCCTGCAGTGATAGGCAGGGAGTTAATCCCTTCCTGGTCAGAGGTAGCCCTCTGAGATTGTTCCGGAAGTTATCAGCTATTTATAGTGATAATGAGTATCATCTGCTGACTCAAGCGTTGGCTTCAAGACCATCTTGGACCTGGACCTTTAATTCTGGGATTCACCCCAGGCAGGTTGTCCACAGAGCAGATCTGGGCAAGTGAGTCGAGATAGTTTCAAGCAGGTGTGCAGGGTGCGCTTGGCCTGCCTGTAGCCTTTGTGGCTCGCTTCTTGTTTTAAAACAGTTGGGCTGCTGTGACTGTTCCTGGTAATGATTGCATTTGTCAGTTGTACAGTGTAACCACAGACAGTCACACACATCAAAACATGGTTCCTGCTGACAGAGTCTATAGAGTTATCAGATTTTCTGTGCGATGGCTCCATACACTTAAAAAAAAAAAAAAACAATTGGGCTGCCTTTTAAAATGGAGGAGTTTCTTTTTTGTTTGTTTGTTTATTAAAATGTAGTTTCAGGGCCCTTGGGTAGGAAAAATGAGAATTTGTGGCTAGTTTGGTTTTCTTGCAGGGCTACTCTGAACTCTTTGGGCAGGGCCTGTTCCCTCCTTTACCACCAGCATCCTGTCCTGGTTTGGGCTTTTTCTGTTTGTTTATTTTTTGAGACAAGGTCTTGCTATGTACATAGTTCAACCTGGCCTTGAACTCACTATGTAGCTGAGGCTGGTTTAGACAGCATAGTGATCCTCCTGCCTCAGCCTCCTGCGTCACAGGTATGGGCCACCATGCAAAGTCCTGGCCTGGTTTATGTGATATATGTGATGGCAGTCCTGCAGCCTTGTGGTGGCCTGGCCCAGCGCTGGCCTTTGTATAGTATAGGGCAGTAGGGAAACGTCCAGTGACCATAAATTACCTTTTCTCATCCCTGGGCCTCAGTTCCTCCCGTAAAATGAACACAGACCGGGCGTCTCCATCTTCCAGTCCCAGACCTCAGCGTATCCTCACTCGTGCTCTTCCCAACCTGCTTCTCCATCAGTAGATCCCCCAGCATCACCTTTGAGCAGCCCTGCCTGGCCCTGTCCTACTTGCCCCTGCTCCGAGGCCTCCCTGCTTCATTCATCAGCCTCTCCTGCCATAGCCCTGCCTGGCTTCCCCTCTTTTCTCCACATCGCCTTGCATGGCTCCACCCCCTTCAGGCCTGCACCACCATTTAGATCGGAGCTGTCCTGCCTGCCTGCGCCCCTCTGTCATCTATGCGCCCCTCTGCT